CACTTGATTCTTGCGGGGAATTACTCAGAAAACTCTCCCCTACAACATATCTAAGTGGCGAGGAAATCGGTGAGGTGTGACTTTTTCTGCATATTTACCGAAACTTTTGACGGTTATGCTAAAGTTTTAATTAATTTTAAATTTTGAAATTTTAGCCGCAAGGACCCATTAGTTAGTATAATAGTGAAATGTACCCTATTTCGACTGGTCTCTTTCGCAAGGTCGTATCTCGATTTTACGCAATTTTCGCTTTTTCTGCTTAAACGTTCATTTAGGAACAGAGCGAAAGAGATGAGTCGATTTGTATGTGATACTTTGCGTATATCTTTTTTTAAACGTGGGTAAGTTAAAATGCTAATCAAGATATAGGTACATATAATATAATCGAATAAGTTCACCTCCATTTACTCGCTTTACTGCTGTTGCTATTTTCGAACGTATACGAATATAGGAAATTCCTGCCAATTCCGGAAATTCAAGACATTCCAATTAGGAAAATCGATATTGAATTACATGCTTGATGTAATCCTCCCATAATTGCCAAAAGCAGTTTATTTATAATGTTTAAATCTTAATGCGGCAATGTTATTGTACATTATAAAATCTGCGCTGACAATAGCAAAATTATTATTAATTTTGAATACTCGCTTAACTATGCAGAATTATAATGAAGAATATTAATGTGTATAATAAATAATTAATAATTTCTGTTTTTATATTATTGTTAGACGAATATAGAAAAATAACAAATCAATTACAAAACAAGTTCTAAACGTTTATTTGCTGAGACTATAAGATTATGTAGCATTTTTGTATCTCTTTTTTAATGTAATGGATTATTTAATTAATGCGAGCTGTTATATCATACAGTTATTTAAATCTTCCAATGTTTAGCATTGTATTTCTTGATAATTAAACTTTAAATTAAAATTTTATTAAATAAACTTAAAGTTGACTAAGAAGTGTTATTATCTATTCAACTCCGTTCAATATACGAAGATCCTTTACTTATCAATCATTTATAACTCGAAACTACTGGGTGCTTAAAAATTTCCCCCACTAGAATTGGCCTAGAACTGAACAGCTGTTAACTATTAGCTAAAGGATCTGTTATATTTTTCAGACATATTTATCAATTGATCTATTCCTCAATATTTAAATAATGCAAGAAAAAAGAAAAACTCACGTTGACTGCTACTTCGTCTTATGATGTTTTCCAGGAACGTATTTTGGGGGGCTACCAGGCCCCTGCGCCCCCCGGGCATCCTTTCTTCGTTGAATGGTCCCAGATCCTGGTCGCTGCGATGGCTATCAGGATCTCGGCCAGTCTGTACCAATTAGGATGATTATAAGCTGCTTGCGATACATAACGAAAATCCTTCGTATTTTCTCTCTTCTTCTCTTTTCACTCACTGTCACCAGCAATTCACATCAGGTATATCTCTTGAGGTATATATAACAAAACGACGGTACACTTGACGCACTTGGAATCGTTTGCGATACACGCTCGAACACGACAATTCACTATTGCGACTCATTAGACTGATATCGTACAACGCGCGTAAACTATTCAGCGCTAGTACTTATCCGAGGAAAGTTTGGAACACGTTAAAACAATTTTAACACGGTTTTATGTGTAACAAGTGATTCTCCGAGGTAAGCACTTAGTTTTTGGGGGAATTTTACAATTTCACAACATGAAATGATTCTGCAGCACTCTCGATAGAAAAACCGCCTCGTAGTTTTTCACGATCACTTCCGGCAAATCAATAAGAGCATTTTGTTGTTTATGGAATTTATGAAACAAGCTTCAATTTGATTTTTGCGTTTTGTTTCAGCGTTGAAGATTATCGCGACTTTTAGATCGACCAAAACTTGAAAAGTGAAATAATGAAAAACAGAGAAGGCCGTGTACTTGTTGTCGTGGATTCTCGTGCCATTTGCTATCCCATTAGGCGATCGGACGGAAGTCCAACAGACTTCCGTCGATGATTCTTCGATAAATAAGATGAGATTGGGGCAACGACTTTTTTCGTCACCTGAACGACGTCCTCCTTCCTGACGTCATCACGGCAGTTCGGAATGGCGCAGGTATATGAATCAACGATTTCCTCGACAAGGAGAAGGAAGAATGGATTGTTTCGTAGAAATCGACCGTGTCGAAAATGGCCAGTTGGAAAAAGTGATTTATCAGGTTGCTCAATTTACCCAGGAATATCGACGCGTGTTTAACACGTATAATTCGCTCGTTTGATAATCGGTTAAAAGCAAAGATAAATCGAACGATCTTGAGATCGATGATTCTTTCGAGCCGATTTATCCCGCTATCCTCTCGCTGGATCAATTTTACAAATCGGATCGACGATTCGACTGGGAAGCCGACGATGCTCGAGAGGATTAGTATTGACCCAAAGGACCGCTCAACACCGGCGGCGACTGGCGTGCTGCCGGTCAATGGTCCACCTGGCCTTTCGAGGACCCTCGAGCGCGCTTCAAATTCGCTTATCGATTTGCACGTTCGGTACTCATTCGGAATTCCAGTTGCACGTGTTCGACCGTGCACGTTCGATTCGACCAATTCGTTTATCGACTTTCCTGACCTCTCTTCAAAAACACAGGCCACTGCTGTCGACCACGATGATCTATCGATCGGTTCAGCGATCGGTCGTTCGCGGACGTGGTCGTACGAAATAAAAATCGGCTGGAAGAGCCTGATAATCGAGCTGTCGCGAGGGAGGAGGAGGAGAAGGAGGAGGAGGAAAAGGAGGAGGAGGAGGAGGAGGAGGAGGAGGGAGGAGGAGAAGGAGGAGGAGGAGGAGGAGGAAGAGGAGGAGGAAGAGGAGAAGGTGGACGATCGATCGGAGTGCAACGCCGATCGATCCACCCAGCCGTCGTCCCTCGAGAATGATTACGTATGTTGTCGGTGATCGCGGTGAGCGGGACGATGCCCTCTTCTTATCCGCGCGCCCAAGACATCGATGGACGTGAGTCCTCGACGGTGCTCCCGGAAGTGTCGTCGGACGATGGCGGACGATACACGACCGATGACCCATCTAACCGCAATCCTTCCAAGTGATCGCTCTCACGGCGGCGGTGACGAATTCGCGACGACGACGACGACGACGACAACGACGACGACGACGACGACGACAGGTAACGTGACGACTGCGCCGTTGTACCCGCGACGTCGCTCTCCACATCCTCGGTGTCCTCCTCAGCGTCCGTGCAGGCGGTATCCGCGCAAGAGGACATCCCTCGGCAGAGATCGGCCGGATGTGAGACGTCAACTGCCGATGGTCACATCATCATTTCGCGTGGATGTGCTATCTCACGATGAGAGCCACTTCAATATCATCGACTCGATTACGCGCTTCTCGTTCTTTCCCAAGTTCTCGCGTATTTCAGGCCGATCCTGTGCGCACTCGATTCCTTGTAAATACAAAGATCTTCTGATGATTGATGATCGAACGACGGTAATTGAAACTGTCCGAACGACGACGGCAACGAAAGGCTGCAAACATAAAAGATCATTCTTTATGTAACTATGAAAAAGGATAACTTCACTATTTCTAAGTTTTCGACACTAGAGCTGTCGTTCTAGATATCGTATATGGGATATATGGGAAGGTATTATATATTTCAAGTAGACCACTAAGGTCGCGCTACAGCTAGTTTTAGCATGTAGCATTTGATTTTCTCCTTTTTTGAGCTCAAGCGTTTTACTTGAAAGAGACTCGATTTGCGAAAATCGGCTTCATCTAGTTTGCGATTGTCCCGACTAATGTAACTTCCTCGCGTTGGAAGAAATGTAGCGGTTGCAGTTCAACTTTTAATGTTATTCGAAAACTTTCCGATTCGATGCTTCCGTCATTCGCGTGCGAGCGCTTCGCTGCTGCATCGTTTATTCTGATTCTAAAAGTAGCAATTTTGCCATAAAATCGGTTATAAATTCGGAAAAGATATATTTACAAATGCACGTATATTGTGGGTTTTGCGGGACTGGTCAACTCTATTCCTATTAACATGCTCAGAGCGAGTGTGGTCGATCATATCGTAGATGGAGAGTATATACATATACAGCACTCGTTTGTCATATCATAGACTTTCTAGATACTTTAGAGATCCTCAGTTAGTGTTTCATATACGTGGAAAAAAAAGTAGCTATAACCGTAGCAAAAAACTGCATGTGGTAACTAAATTTTAGTTGTAAAATATGGATTAGTAGCTAAATACGAGGGGTAAACCACTGATGCCTACTAATGTCCAGTGGGCATTACTTTATCTTTGATCTTATTTTATCTTTATAATGCCCCAAAAATGCCTACACGGAGAGAATTTTCTTTTAAAATTTATCCCGAAAATATTGTACTCGTGGGACAAGACGGCACAATACTTGGAGCCAATTGGCCTCGTCTAACTATTTGAGATGTATACGTCAAATATAGAGATTATCAGTCATGGACATGGCGGTTAAGATAGATGCGAAAACGCTCGATATAGACTTGTTATTCGATTAAGTACTATAATGTCATTTTAACCTAAGCTAAGAATATCTTGAGAAAGTCCGCCGCGTAATTTATCAGCTGTACGTAGTTTCTTTCCAACTACCTTGAACTAAAAGATCAAACTGTTAGAAAACAATGCTATCCTGAAGTATTAACTTTCAAGAAGAATACTTGTGAATACAAGTGAGGATATAACGTGCATAAGGTAACGCACGTGATAAAATTCCCGGACATTTCAATTGCATTGGACAACATACAGAACTACAGCCGCAAGTATTGTTGTAGCACGAACAGACAGCTTCGATTACTTTCTTTCGCGCATACACTCTCGGTCTTTCATGTTTACTTCTGAATCGATTGAAACGAAATAATACTTTACACCTACCGTTACCGTTTTATCATATCCCCCCTTCCCTAGAGAGGGGGAGAGAGAGAGAGAGAGAAATTATAGATCATTAATTTTACAAGTCCTTTGTCCAGAGTTTTAGCTTTATAAATTTATGGACATTTTCGTAAAACTAGTTTTTCAATTTCTCTCCCCGTCCTCCCCCTCTTCTCTCTCTGTATATTGTCTTTTTAACATTAAAATAGCCAATTGTATTAAAAACCAATCGGAAAAACGTTTACAAAAATGCTGCTTTTATCCATTCTTATTCGGTATGTATTCAACTTACAATGCGTTGATCAATTCTTTTAAAAATAAAATCGCTTTTCTTTACAGTGTGCTTGCTTTCTTAAAACATCAGCAAAATGCAAGCACTTGTGACTTTGTCAAATCTGCGTTTCCAGTAATCATACTTTTTGCGAGTATTGCGATTTCCATATATGTTGCTGGTCATCACAAATGCGAGCAAAACTTTCGCTAACGTTTTTCACCACACGATATGCCGATCGGTCATTTTATCACTGATACAAGATTGCAAAATGAATTCACCGAAAGCGCAGATTTGCACTATGTATATTTATGTAAATATTATGAGCTATAAAATGTGAAATAATAACTTATCACTTCATATGAAGCAAATAAGATTAAAATTTACGTCAATTAATATTTATATATAATATTATTTGATTAAACAATTAAAATTTTAATTTATTTTTTACTCACTGATTATTATTCTATTCAATATTAATGAGTTATATTGTAAGTATTATTGCAATTATATAATATTTCTTTTTATAATTTATATAAGTTGTACACATAAAATATTTATCTGTACATGTTTTAAAGTAAAATTAAATCGGAGTGACTGCGCTCAAAGTTTGCAAAGAGCAAAACTTTGCTTGACGCAAGACATAAAGTTGGCGTTTGCCGCTTGATATTCACGATAAGATGAGAGTGGCGATACATCCTGACATTCATTAACTTACGAGTACCCGCTGTGGGGAAACCGACAGGGAGTTTCAAAGATATCTGCAAGAGTCTCTAGAACATAGTTGATTCTTGTACGTAAAATTGCAGATAAACAGAAGAAATCCAATGATTTTTCTTGAATACAAAAGAGAGACAAATAAATAAACAATAAAAAGAAATTATTATGTTTTTCATTAATTATAAAAATAATTTCCTTTAATAAGCAATTATATAAATTATAACTAAAATAACATAATATCGCATAATATTTTGATATGCCTGAAATGTTTTAAATATATATTTTAAATGTATAATTAATTTTATTTGTTAGTAAATGAATTATGGACATATTTATTTATTCAGTTATTACATTCGCAATTTACGAAACTTTGCGCAAATAATTGGTGCAGGTCGATGAGTAGACTATTAGTTATTTAATGTGCAGATCAATTTTACTTAGGAAATTTATAGCATCGTAAAACGAATGTTATGATACTATCTGAAAGCGATGCACCGAAAGCTCTTAAGACAGCGCTTTTCAATGTAGGTGGTACTAAGTGTACTTCCAAGATGAAATGGAGAATACAAGTGTGACCATTTAATGTTTGGAAAGGTAATATTACTATTACTCAAAGTAAAATAATAACAACTCTTATCAATTTATGGCGATTATAAATAATCTTGACAAGAAAAGACAAAGCGATACAAACATTTAAAATGCAAACTTATGCTGCGTTACAAATCTATTCCTCCTTTTTATTCATGCACTTACGAACCCCCCTCTCACTGTCAGATAAATTTTCTAATTAAAATTATTATCTGCTCATATATTTGCATCAACAATCATTGTAAAGGCGCATTTTTATGCACACGCTACCACGCGTTATCACGTCGCGTTCTGTTAAAGTCGGCTAATTTCAGTCGGTCTTCCACTAGTCAAATATGTATCGAAATCGACTGAAATTAACCGAGTTTAAACACGTGGTAAAGGCCTTCGCACATACTTTCCGTAAAACGTAACAGTAAGGTTACGACCGAGAGGGAAACCGCTGAGGGCATTGTGATGTACAGATTTGCGGCATTACTGGGCATTTTTTGGGCATTAGACCTTGCTAGGGCATTATAAAGATAAAGCAAGATAAATAAGATAAAATAAGGTAATAAGCTAAAGTAATGCCCACTGGGCATTAGTGGGCATTGGTGTACAATATCAGCGGTTTCCCCCTCGGTTTCATTTACACTATTTACAGTGTTGCCGTCTGTTTTATGAAAAATGTGAATGCCTTAACGCAGTATACGGAAAATCGAAATTAATAATCCAACAGAATAATTTATCCGGAGGAGATAAGTTGTGTTATCAAAAACTTGGAAGACATTCACAAATCGTGAATCGCTGAGAAAAATAGTCAAGATTTATTCTTTATGAAAGATTTAAATAATTAAATCGCATACTTCCCGGCAAAAGGATTACTCAAAGTGGTGAAGAAAAGGGATCCAAGTGCTAGTTGCCTAGACGGGTTAAGTAGATGCTAAGAATGCCGAAGAAGAAGCTCGAGTGGCATTATCAGTACTTGAGTTAAAGAAAAGCCTATTCCTTGAGTCTCTCGGGACCGTCATGAATCTTATTGAAGCAAGATGCTTTCTACAGTAAATAAGAGGTAGTAAAAATTGAATTCCAAGATAATGTAGTAGTACATGGATATGAATAATGAATGTAAGTAACGATGCAGTATCGATCATATTATTTGAAAATAATTGAATGAAGCAATGTGTCGTGTTTTTGAATTCTTCTCGCTACCACGTGCACACCCCTATAATACAATACAAAATACATAGTGTCATTTAAGAAATTTGGGTGTATAAATACGGTAAATGTCAATAAAAAAACAAACGTGAATGTGTTTCAGTTTGAAACC